CCCTGGGGGAAATGGAGACCCCTCTGTGGGGCACGGGGACACCGCCAGGGACTGGGGATGGGGGGGTCATATGTTCATGGTGGTATCTACTGTGACGTGGGGACATGGACCTCCCTGGGGACCTCCTTGGGGACATAGGGACCTGGGGATGTCCTTGGGGACATGGGACTTGAGGACATGGGGACGTCCTTGGGGACATGGACCTCCTTGGGGACATAAGGACGTCCTTGGGGACACAGGGACCTCCTTGGGGACATGGGGACTTGAGGACAAGGAACTCCTTGGGGACATGAGGACATCCCCGGGGACATGGATCTCCTTGGGAACATAGGGACTGGGGGATGTGGACCCTCCTGGTGACACTGGGACCTCCTTGGGGACATGCGGATCTCCTTAGGGACGCTGGGACTTAAGGACATGGACCTCCTTGGGGACATCCTTGGGGACACAGGGACCTGAGGATGCCCTCAGAGACATGAGAACTTGAGGACATGGACCTCCTTGGGGACATGAGGACATCCTTGGGGACATGGACCTTTTTGGGGACCTCCTTTGGGGACACGGGGACTTGGGGACAAGGACCTCCTTGGGGACATGAGAACATCATCGGGGACATGGACCACTGTGGGAACATAGGGACTGGGGGTTGTGGACCTCCATGGGGACACTGGGACCTCCTTGGGGACATCCTTGGGGACATGGACCTCCTTGGGAACACAGGGACCGGGGGATGTGGACCCTCCTGGGGACATTGGGACCTCCTTGGGGACATCCTTGGGGACATCAACCTCCTTGGGGACATCCTTGAGGACATGGACCTCTTTGGGGACATTGGGATCTCCTTGGGGATACAGGGAGTGGGGGATGTGGACCCTCCTGAGGACACTGGGATCCCCTTGGGGACATTGGCACCTCCTTGGGGACATCCTTGGGGACATGGACCTCCTTGGGAACACAGGGACCGGGGGATGTGGACCCTCCTGGGGACATTGGGACCTCCTTGGGGACACGAGGGCTTGAGGACATGGACCTCTTTGGGGACATAGGGACCTCCTTGGGGACATCCTTGGCGACACTGGGACCTCCTTGGGGACACGGACCTCCTTGGGGACACAGGGAGTGGGGGATGTGGACCCTCCTGGGGACATTGGGACCTCCTTGGGGACATCCTTGGGGACATAAACCTCCTTGGGGACATCAACCTCCTTGGGGACACGAGGGCTTGAGGACATGGACCTCCTTGGGGACATAGGGACCTCCCTTGGGGTCATAGGGACTGGGGGACGTGGACCTCCCTGGGGACATGTGGGTACAGGTGGGGACATTTGGGGACATTTGGGGACGCTGACCGGCGAGGGGGTCCTCCTCCTCGGAGCTGGTGGAGGGCAGCGGTTCCTCCAGGATCCCCC